CACACACACACATACACATGCAGAGATATACACACATACATACACGGACACACACACATTACACATACAAAGGTAAACACGCGCACATACAATCATACAGACAAACAAAATTAACACGACATTATAAATAAATATACACATAAAATAATCAAACATAGTCAAAAATATGACACACATACGAGCAAACGTACACACACACACACACACAAAGACATGCATACAAATAAAATCAGAAAGAAAGAAATAAAGAAACACATAGGCAGACAGACAAATTTATACATGAGGTAATAGATACTTATTATATTATTATTTAGGAACATATGCGGTTTCAAACCAACATCTTTATAACATGTGGTGCTAATATGGAGTGATGGCGAAGAAGATGATGAAGAGGACGATGCAGATGATGATGCAAATGATGAGGATGACTTATTAAGATGGGTCGGTGAAGATGATGTTTACCACGCCATCCGGAACGATGGAAACCATTGGGAAGTCAATTACGATAATTATAATAATATACAATGACGATGAAGATGACGACGACGATGATGATAAGAGAGATGCGGGTGATGATGTAAATAACAATAACTGCACTTAGCAATGTTGGATTGAGAGCAAACCCATACATGTATAGTATATGGTACGTTTGTACATATATCCACACATACAGACAAACAAACAAACACATACACACGCACACAAACAAACAAATACATACATATATATATATATATATATATATATATATATATATATATATATACACACACACATATATATGTACGTATTTATGTAATAATTATGCCATAGAATGATTTGTTTGTTGTGAAAACAAATCTAACTATGTTTCATTGCTTTCAATAAACAAAATGGTTAATAGAGAGAGAAAGAAAGAGAAAGAGAGAGAGAGAGAGAGAGAGAGAGAGAGAAAGAGAGAGAGAGAGAGAAAAGTTACATACATACACGTGCACACGTACATAAGTAATCATATGTTTTTTGATATATTATTTCTTTTATTATATTTTTTTAATGTTCTAATTTAATAAATCAATGATAGGACCGATTATTATTATTATTATTATTATTATCATTATAATTATTTTTGTTATTTTTATTTTGATTTATTATTTTAAAAATGCAGGTGCAGCGGAAGCATGTTTAAACGCCGACGAGATTGAAAGGCAGCGAACGAACGAACGAACGAACGGACGAACGAAAGAACGGCTGTTAAATATTTCATTTCATACAACTGAACAAGATGATGAAGACGATGATGATGATGAAGACGATGATGATGACAATGATGATGACAATGATGTCGACGACGACGATGATGATGGTGACAACAACAACAACTACAACAAAAACAACAACGAAATGATGACGATGAAGACGATGATTACGACGACGACAAATTGCTACACAACTAAAGGTGTCTTGAAAGCATTGTTCAATGTGTTATCAGTTACATTGCTTTACACAACATTTCATTCATTCATTCATTCATTCATTCATTCATTCATTCATTCATTCATTCATTCATTCATTCATTCATTGCTGAGCCGCCATAGCTCGCTGCATTGTTATTACGTTTCATTATGATAATTAATATTTATAACTGTTATTATTATTGTTGTTGCTATTGTTATTAAGGTATTTGTATCAATGTCTTATTGTGCTTTATTAGGCTGATGTTGTTATTAGTAAATTACTGCAACCAAATTCGTTATAATAAATAACGTTACTTTCATTCATTCGTTTATTCATTCATTCAGTCATTCATTCATTCGTCAGACTAATCAACTAATCAATCATTAATTCACCAATTCATTCATTTATTAATTCATCTGCTCGATCAATCAATCAATCAATAACAGATGGATGGATGGATTCATGAGTGAATGATTTAATGTGAGAAGTGCGAAAGGTTGAGTGGATTACAAGACAAAAAGAGATATGGAGAAAGACAGAGAGAAAAAATGCAAAAATAAAGAGAAAGAGGGGAAAAGAGAAGGAGAGAAAGAAAGAGAGAGAGAGAAAGAAAGAAAGAGAGAGAGGGGGAGAGAGAGAGAACAACAACAGTACCGACCGAACACGACATGATACAAAACCAAATGCAGCACAGCCAACTAGAACAGCGTGATAACATTTCAAAAAATGGTGACGACGACGACGATGTTGTTGCTACTAGTGCTAGTTGTGATGCTGATGATGTTGTTGTTATTTATGATGATGTTGTTGTTGTTATTTATGATGTTGTCGTTGTTGTTGTATTTAACGTTTATTAATGACGATAATGTTGCTGTTGTATTTACTGATGATGTTGATGTTGTTGTTATTTATGACGATGATGTTGTTGTATTTAGCGCTATTAAAAATGTTGTTGTAACAATAGCAACAACAACAACAAAATTTCATATCGACAGACAAATCGATACAATTAGATGCATTAATATATGAATGGTTCTATTCACACCTTTTTCTGTCCTACACCTATGGCATGAGCAGTTTTGCAATTTTGTTGCTGTTGTTATCATTATTACCAGTAATAGTAGTAGTAGTTGTAGTAGCAGCGGTAGTAGTAGTAGTAGTAGAAGTAACAGTAGTAGTGTAGCAGCAGCAGTAGTAGTAGTAGTTGGTAGTAACAGCAATGTTTGTGTCGCGTTATTTGTAGAGATTTTGTCATATACACAATATATACAAAAACACACACACACACACATATACACACACACAAACATTTGTATTTACGGAAAGCCAAACCAAAAAGAGGATTATTATTATTATAATGATTTACAACGGAATTTTTGTCCTTATTACCCCTTTTGACAGAACCAGCATAAAACTAAAACATTAAGCATAAAACTAAGAAGCAATCTAGACAAAAACATTAAAAATGAAAACAACAACAATAACAATAATAATGATAATAAAATAACACTGCTTGCAACAAAATGTTATAGACATAAACAAACACACACACGAACACAAACAAACACACACACGAACACAAACAAACAAACGAACGAACAAATAGACAAAATGAAGAAATATAAACTCACAAAATCTCTAAATGACTGGATGCAGTTGAGCTGGCGTTTATGTTGTATCTGACTTCTTTGATTTCGTTGAAACTTAAATTTCTAAAGATAAAATAATAATACACAATCTTATCATGTTATATTAAATAATATCAAATAACTCTCTCTCTCTCTCTCTCTCTTTCTCTCTCTCTCTCTCTTTCTCTCTCTCTCTCTTAACTTGTGTATGCGTGCTTGTGTATGCGTGTGTTTGTTTGTAAATGCATGTGTAGGTTTGTGTGTGCGTGTGTATATATATGTGTCTGTAGGTGTGTATGCTTACTTATGTATGTGTGTCGTCTGTGTAAGTGTGGTTGGTATCAAATTTGTATATTGTATACGGTGGTGTATGTATGTTTGTGTTTGTAAGTGTGGGATTGTTTTAATCAGTTACAATATCATATTTAAATATGTGTGCGTGCGTGCGCGTGTGTGTGTGTGTGTGTGTGTGTGCGTTATCAACGGTGAATACACTTGAAATACCACTGGATGATAGTGATAATGAAGATAGCAATAACAATAATAATAACGATGATAAGGGATATTATAAATATGACGATGAAGATGATGATGAAGATGACGATGAAGATGATGGTGAAGATGACGATGAAGATGATGGTGAAGATGATGATGAAGATGAATGACGATGAGGAAAATGTTCTTATTTCAGGATGATTGCATAATTCTTTCTTGCAGTAATTAATTTTTTTGAAGAGTTGGTAATTAAAAGTTGTCATTTAAATTCTTAACAGCTGCTAACAATTTTTCTCCGTGTGTGTGTGTGTGTGTGCATGTGTGTGCGTTTGTACGTATGTGTATAATACATGTGTTGTTACAAGCGTGTGTGTTTTTGTATATGTGTCAATCGGAGTATATGCGTATATTTTCATATTTTCTGTATGTTTGTCAGAACGTGTGTGTGTATTTTTATTTATGTGTGTGTGTGTATGTGTGTGCAAATTTTCACGCATATGTGTATGTATGGGTCTGTATGTGTATGTATGTTGGTTTTTGGTATGCCTGTATATTAGAGTAATATGAAATTTTATTGAGAAAATTTAAATTCTGGAGACAGCTTACAATTTTTGGATGTTTGCCATATCGCTGAGAAAATCCACATTTTGAAGTTTGTTGTGACTCAGGTCCCTGTTTGACAATAGGAGGAAAAAAAATAAGTAAGACAGACCAAAAATAAAATAAACAAGATAGGTCAAAAACCAAAATGAATGATAAATAATAATAAAATTTAATTAAATAAAAAATACTAACAGTTCTTTTAACTGGTGTAAGACATTCAAGTTAGTAACATGAGAGATTATGTTCCTACTTAAATCCCTGAAAATTCAATTATTTATTTAAAAATAAATAATAGAGTTATAAAAACATTTATTTATTTGTATCTTTTAAAAATTATTTATAAATAATACCATTTTTTTTCAAATTTTATGCTCGGGTTAATGCCTGATACAATATTTTTTAATAGAATTCTTATAAAAAATATATCAAACAGATTTTATTTGCTAACAAAATATAAGTGCATCACCTACTTAAATACAAATAATATTTATTTGAAATTTTTTTAAATTAAAAAAGTTATTAATTATTATTGCTGCTAGACAAATTGACTGTATTTAGTTTTTACCATTGAAAGTTAATACCTGAATTTATATCAGTAGGTATATATCTATATATATTATATATATATTGATTGATAATTACTTTTTAATCTTTAATAATGGTATCTTCTATAATAGTCTATCTATAGCTATACTATACACAATTTTTCATGTTAATATGTGAACTACACTAAAATTTAAATTATATTAAAACGTAAATTAAGTTTAATAAGATAAAGAGATATATTTCTTACAGATTTTCGACCCAGAGAGGAATCAGATTGATGATGGCTTCATTGACTTTCAGTTCGCTGCAATCAATGTTGTTGCCCAAACATGAGCAGTTTGATGGGCATAATATTGTTCGTTCGTCGGTAAAATTCTCGTAAGAAATTTGCACAAAATTGTAAATTGATATCATTATTAAAATGATCATTTTATTAACGATTTTTATCATTTTTAAAATAAGATTTTTTACAAATTTTAGAAAAAAAAAATTCTAAATCTACATTCTACAACATCAGCCAGCGGCTTTTTTAAATAATTATCAACATTTGAAATCTATATTTTGTCTTTTATGTTTGTAATCTTGGACGCGAAACATTTGATCAGCAAACCAGTGAAATATTATTATCATATTAGCGATGCTGTTTAATGTTTTTGTTTATATATGATTTATAATGGGTGCTACTAAATGGCTGATCATGTATGAAATTATGCAGTTTAGCTTCTTAGCTGAATTACCTATATTTCTATTTTAATAGAATAATTTGTCATTTGTTTGTTGTTTGGAACATTATATTTGATTGAAAATAACATAAATTTACCAAATGTAATGCGTTTTTGATGTTAATAACTTTGATTTACTTTTCACTGCACTGTCAAAGGTCTGGAAACATAAATTATTCAGATTGGGTATCAAGGGTCGCATTTTGCTGTTGCACTCTTGGACCGTTCATTTAGTTTTGCATTTATTTGTGTAATTATTTGTTTAAGTTCATTTATAATAATATTTCAAATTTTGTTTTAAATAAACTAGCATCCTATTTCTATTAAAATTACACCTACAAAGTCGATTATTAAAATTTTAGAAGCTAAAATAAATAAAACAGTAATCAGCTGATTGTGTTTACTATTTAAGAAGTGCTCGCTCTGTTGCGAACTAACACATTTACAAATATCAAAACGTTGATATATAAGCAAAAAAAGTTTCGTTGTTAATATTTTCATCAGTTTGTTTGTGTCCTGAACAAAATATTAATCAAAAAACATTGAAATAAGTAAGTAAAATAATGTCGATATCCGGCAAGTTGAATGACGCAAAGAAGAACCCCGTGGTCTACATAACGAGATGTGCGACGTTCAGTGCCTGTCACCGCCTCCACAGTCCTAAATTGTCGGATGAAGAGAATAGGAAAATTTTCGGCAAATGCAACCACATCAACGGTCACGGTCACAATTACAGACTGGAGGTAACGTTGAAAGGAGAGGTAGAGGAGGACACTGGCATGGTGTACAACTTGTCTGACCTCTGTAAGGTCATAGAAACGTGCGTTATCGAGTTAATGGACCATAAAAACTTGGATAAGGATGTTGAATTTTTTAAAAACAACACAAGCACAAGCGAAAATCTATGTGTATTTATTTGGCACAAGCTACTGGAAAATTTATCTAAACCACATCTGCTGTTTGAAGTTAAATTACACGAAACTGATAATAACATTGTATACTATAAAGGCGAATAATTTTATGGTTGTAATGCTGTTAATGTAATAACTGCAAACTGTTGTGTGTGTACATGTATGTGCTAATCAACGTTATGTTAAACACTTTAATGTATTAGGTTAAGTTTAGAAATCCTTTTTATTGCTTGTGTAGTCAATTAATCATTCGATTAAATTAAACGTTATTTTTCTTGTTTACGCTCTGCTGTATGTCATCTTATACCGACGATACAAATTTATTAGATAATATTTCGTACATCGCAAACTAAGTGATGATGCTTTCGTTAAAAGTTCGAATGTTTGATAAACTTGTCTTGTGGTATAATGATTAACGACGTGTGTATCTGTTCAGGTAAGAAGTGTTGTCATAGCTAGACGAATGTGTATTTCAGAAAGTCTAACTAATAAAAACTAATTCGCTAAGCAAAAATGTCATATAACGTGTAATATAATTGTAATATTCATTCAGTATATTAAATCATAACTAACCATAAGTTTGAACAAAAATTAATAACTATAAAATACTCAAAATACAGCAAAACTTATGCCTATTAAAATCATACAAATAAACGATGAAGAAGAATTTAAAGGTTGTTGCCATGGTAATGTTTCACCGAACAGTATACTGTTTGAAAATGAATTTTGATTAACGAAATACTTGTTCGTGATACTTGGCTCCAGAAAGAACTATTTTAAACGATGGAGTTGACTGGCAGTACCTACAAAGGTGACATTAGATATGGGAGGTCGTAACATTATTTACACTAAGAATCATTTTGTTAACTTTGACCGTGAATTTGTTTATAATTGTAAGAATTACAAAGCCACGATTATTAGCAACTTTAAATTTTATAAGAACTTCTTAGAGCTACGTAGACAGCAAATGCAGGTAAGGCAGACTGATTTTTAATTCTGTTTGATGACGTCAATGACATTTACAAAGAGCTTAATCAAATTTTCACAAGTGATACAAAATACAAACATAATCAACGAAATAGAGTTTTGCAATCAGCGATTCATAAATACTTAAAACAACCATCATATAAAAAACAGAATGGAAGGCATGGGAACGTACGAGTTTCCAACCGGAACCAAATACACCGGTCAGTTTTTGGATGGCATGTTCAATGGACAGGGCACTCTATGCTTTCCGAACGGTGGAAAGTATGTTGCCACGTGGAACAATGGGAAAGCCATTGAAGTAAGCTACCGAAGTTCGTTTAAAAATTATATATGCAAGCAACTATTGCCGTCGTATTTCAATTAATTTTACGTTATTACACAAACAAATTTCCATCCAGTAGCAGTACTTTGCAGAATTTACTCCAGTAAAAACGATTCAATCTACCTAACTTATTTATTAAACCCGACAACTAAACGTGGTTGAACACAAATCCTAAAGGGCAGGTACATATTTCCTGACGAGTTGGAATACAAAGAAGAAAACTGGGAGTACTGTGACGGATATGACAGAAGATTTTTCAATGAAATCAAGGAAGGCCTCAAATCTTCAGGTATCATTCTATATAATAAAGTGCAATAGTGATAGCATTTCTTAAAAAATAATTTTAACAAACGTTCCAACCCAACAATAAATCAACATTCTGCAATTATTAAGACATTACAGTGAATGTTATTTCATAATTTTCCAAATACAATATAAATAAACATTTTCTCACAAGGCCACACTAGGTTGACAAACATTGAACCCACAAGGGAAATCCCAAAGGGGTGCTATGACTGTGGAGATGGATTCTACAGACCAGATGAAAGAATAATTGTGGATTATAACATGAATTTCCTGAGATGCGCTGGTCAGTCCTCTTCAGAATTTGAAATATTTAAAAATAAAAATGATCTCTAAAAAATAATTCTAAGATAGAAAGAGGGTATGTACTTAATCTAGGAATAAATATTTCCGTTCCATCCAGATGACGATGAACATGAATGGATAATAACTTGCTGTAGGAAGGAGAAAGATGAATACATTGAGTGGCTGGAGAGTGATAACAAGAAATGATCAATTTCATATTTACCCACTATAAACTAGTGTGCCTTGCTAAGTTTATAAATTTGATATCATTTGGTCTTATTGCATCTATGGCTATTTTGTTTTTTAATAATATAAATTAACAAACTGCAGTTGAAAATTGAAAATATTTTTACATTTATTTAACAAAAAGCAAAAATGTATATATTCAGTTAGAATTTTTTGCTTCAACATTAATGTTCATAGAAGCATGAGCATGTTTGCCCTTTTTTATGGCATCAGTGAAAAGACTCATGTAGAGTTTAATTGCACATGGAGTGTCATCATTGCCAGGAACAGGAAACGTAATTAATCTGGGATCACAGTTTGAATCAACAATCCCAATCACAGGAATGTTCATTTTTGCTGACTCAACAACTGCTGTGTGCTGTTCAAATGCATCATTTAATGTAGATAAGAAGATACATAAATCAGGCAGTCGTGTTGTGGCTCCGTATTGAACTGTTGAATTTGTGAAGGTTCCCAGACGCCATTTTCTGCAATGAGAGTACTCCCCACAATCTTTTGCCATTTGTTCCACAGTAGTAATGTTCTGTGGTGATCTTGTAACAAACATTATTATTCCTTGCCTGAATGCTACATGGGCAGTGAAATTTAAAGCATCTCCCAGTAACTGAACAGTTTGATCTAGATCAATGATGTCGATGCCTAATCTGTTGCCAAATAAAAATGGCTTCATGTATTCATTTCTGACGATTGATTTGTGGCCATAATGAACTCTATTCAAAAATAAATCATTCAGTGTGAAGGAGTTTCGAACGTTGAAGTAGTCCTTGTGCTCCAACGGATTCAGATGGTTCAGGACTGTAACTGAGAAGTATTTTATAAAAAAACTTAATAATCACTGCGTGTAAACTCGTGTAGAAAATACATATAAAAAAATGAAATGTTGTTACCAACCATTTTTTTCATCCATGGTATTTGCAACATTTTCTGGTTTAAGCGCTGTTGAAGTGCTCAGCGCTCTTCCGTTTATAAATCTTGTTAAAGTTACATTTCCTAGTGAAAAAATTATAAATTTAACAATTGATCTTAATTACTTCATTAAAATCTTCGGAGAAAATATTTAAAGGATGTAAAATCACCTTTCTTCATCATGTGTGTGGGCAACGCCATTTTATAATGAAGTGTATAAAAGTAAATTTAACTGATGTGAGCCATGCATATTATGAGAACAGAAGAGATATTCAATGAAGCTCTATAAAATAAATAGTGCATAAACACGGAATGTAATCTTATAGCGTGTGTGAGATTATGGTTTTATTAAAATTGACTTTTAAGATGTATTATTTACTATTTGTTTATTACTATAGGACATCAATGGTGCAAATATTAAAATTAGTGTTTAAAGATTATTTTTTAAACTTTAATTTGGAAGTTCGTAGTTTATCATTTTGTGACAGAACTTTTACAAATTTTTAAAAATGTTCTTTTTGTTTTTTTATGCCTTGATTTTGTACCGCTAAGATATGTTACTAGTTCAAGTTGAGTTACTACATGCTAAATATTGCACATCCTTAAATTCGATTCATAATATCATTTTATTGTTTCATGTAATACGATTCAGCAAGTCCATTAATGAGTGGTTTTATTAAATTATGGTGATGCAACGAAATAACAAAGTCGACAAGTGAAGTTGAAACACATTATTTCCATAATTTCAAGTGCGAATTTGAATCATCATGGATTTTACCTTTTACCCTTTTCAAATTATATAGTTTTATTTCACTTAATTTCGTACATCATAAACAACATCAGATAGTGTAAAGTCCAGTATATAGATATAACATTTATATACACGTATGGTGACTTATTTTTGGATGGTAGGTATTTATATATATCTGGTGAAATTACAAATAATAACGAGTTTGTTTAGTTGTTATATTAAATTAGATTAGTCAGGAAAATGTCGCATAAAGTCATCTATCCAACTGCTCTGAAAATTTTCAGGAACCGTCACAGCGAGAAGAAAGTGTTGTCAGAATTGATGGACAAGTTGCCGGAGAGATGTTCCAATTTGAAAGATGCAACAACTTGTCTGTCTATCGGTACTGGCTACGGAGATTACGATATAGACTTCATCGAGAAATGTTTGCCGAACTTGAAAAAATTTATAGCTATTGAAATTGATGGCGACTGTGTGAAAGAAGTGAAGGAGAATTTGTACACTAGGTTTAAAAATAAGTTCGAAGTCGAAGTGTTTGAGATGCCGGTTGAAAATTTTTTTGATCTCTACGAAACAGTAATAAATGATTTTGATGGAGAAAAAAATAAAGCTGAAAAATATTCATTCAACAGCCGTTGTAAAGAAGTATTAAACGGCGAAGTTGACGCCATCTTAGCTTTCCACATCATTCATTTCTTGGCCGAGAAAGAGAGAAAAAGATTCTACAACTTATGTTTCGATCACTGGCTCCGTCCAAAAACAGGGCAGTTGTTTTTTACAGGTTGTGATGAAAATAACTCCCTGAACCACCTTCTGTCCGAGGCCAAGTCTCCGGTAATTCTGTCATCAGAGATAATAGTGAATGAATTGAAAAATGGAGGTAAAAATGTAGTCGAGGAGTTCCCTTACAACTGTCCGATCGATTATTCGTCATTTGATGTGGACATTCGAAGGTTTCTTAACTTCACTTTTCAACATTCCGGAGCTACGGAGACAAGCATCGAAGAAGCCATGAAAGTCATTGCTCCCAATGGCTGGTCCGAATATCCATGTAATTTCTGTATTGCTAGGAAAGCATGATGATGATGGTAATGTGGAGAGTACGATGATGATGAGGATGCTAATGATGAGGACAATGATGTTGATGATGATAACAAAAATTAAATTAATTTTCAATAAATCGTGGCAAATATTTTTATTTGAATCTAAAATAATTACAATAGTATATATTACTCTCAATTTAGTAGCAATGATTAAATCAGTTTTATATGGCTGTCAATTTCAAACTCAAATCTCAAGGACGATGACGCCATGATAGCGTTGAAGATGTCATACTTGTTTCATTAAAAATATGAATTTGTTTTTATCTATTTATTTATTTTTTAATTTATTTTTTAATTTATTTGAAACGTTAACGACCATATAAATCAAGGATAATAATTGATCTGAGAGTATTGCTGACGAATGTTTGACTCTTAATAATAAAACTGAAAGAATAATAATAAATCAATAAAAATATTTAAAAAAATAAATCAATAATCATTATTATTATTTTAATTATCACGTCACTTCAACTTCAACGCGAGGCAGGGCGTTGAACTATGAAACGCAATTACACAAAAAATACAAAGGTTTAAACTAACGAAGAACTCTCTTAATGTCGTTTGCGGCGCACAAAAACAAATTACTTTTAGTTATCAACGAATCTTGTTTAGAACTTCTGAAAGACTTTTTAGTTATTATATTATCAAATGATTTCTTATTTATTTAGAATTTATTTTATAATCATTACATTTGCTGCTATCAGTTCTATTTAGGTTGACTAACTATCCTATTTGTTAGACGCAAAAGATTATTTAAGCTGTTGAAAATCTTGGTTAAAATTATGTTTATAAATGTTCTTAAAACTTTTTGTTCAATTATTTAAATAAAATTACATGATATTCATTGAGAAAATAATTGCATAAAGAATAAAATTTAATGAATTTTTAATACAAAAATATAAACTAATTAATTTTTCCTTAGATAATGGCTAAAGATATTGCGCCATACACTGAAACGTTAAAAACGTTTAAAAAGCATTACAACGAGAAAGAAGTTTTGAACGGTTTGATGAAGGATGTAGAAATAATCTTTCCCTGTCTAAGGAAAGTCACAACATGTGTGTCCATTGGTACTGGCTATGGTGATTACGACCTTGACTTCCTCCGCACCTGTCTGCCCTATCTCAAAACTTTAATCGTCATCGAGAAGAATGAGGACTGTTTGAGAGAGCTTAAAATTAATTTGGAAGAGTTTTCTGATAATTTAGAGGTTTACATCATCAAATCTACCATTGAACGTTTTATACAAATAAATGAACTAGGTCATTGGTTCTTGTTGAATGAGATTGTAGAAGATAGTTCACCAGAAAAAGTTCAAAAAGTCACATCATTCTTCATGGGAAAGATTGAAATTGTTTTAGCCTTCCACGTGCTTCATTTTTTAGACCAGGCGCACAGAAGAGCGCTCTACAAACTGTGTCTGGGACAATGGATGTGGCCAGAAGAAAAACTAAATAATATTTTCGTGTTTGTGAGCATGAGTGGCGAAGATAGTACAATAGTCCGACTGATCAAAGAGCTGACGCAGGATTCTCTCGTGATTTCAGAAATAATCAAAAATGAGTTGAATGAGCAGGGAGGTTTTTGTTTACATGATTTCAGTTACGAATGCCTGATGGATGTACCTGATATAAATAACTTGAGGGAAATTGTTAAATCCATGTTTCCAGACTTTGAAGTCAATGAAAGCAGTTTGGCAGAGGTGGCGAAGAAGATAGTGCCGAATGGAAAGTCCATTCTTAAGGCCAGCATGTGTCTCTATGCCAAGAAAAACTAACATTCTTCACAGTTCTCAGCCTAATTTTAATGTTAAAACCAAATTAAAAATACTTGTTTTATATTCAAATAATTTTTAACATAACAATTCTTAGAACTACTTGAATGTTTACTGACAATGCATGCTACCTCATGCAAATATTCAATTAAATTTCAACATTATATCTTATAAAAAACTAAAAAAATTCCTTGTACCGAATGTCATGATTTAATATTTTTTTAACAATTTTGAAACATTTTGACGTCCATAAACTCTCTATATCCATTGAATTAAACGCCGATTATCTCTGAACATTTTTTTCATCGAGCAACTTCTATAATTAAAAAGCTGTCTAAATGAAAATTCGTCCTTTTTTTTGTTAGTTTCAATATTCGAAGTCGACTTGTAATAAAACATAATAAATATACAAACCAAATCAAAATTTTACAACAGCGGCAGTAGTAGTAGTAGTGGCAAGAGTAGTAGAAGTATTATGGTAGTAAAAGAAGTTTTTTGTAGCAGCCGCGAGTTGCTTCGTTTAAATGTCATTGCTTGTGTAAACATAACCTACAGTAATAATAAATAAAGTTAAATACATTTAGAAATTTTATTAAAATTATTATTTTAAGAATTATTATTATTGTTATTATTATTTATTTATTTATTCGTTCGTTCGTTCATTTATTTATTATTATGATTATTTCTATAATAAACATTATAAATCATAAAGATCACCGTCTGTCGTCTTCTCTTAAGGACAGTTTGTTGTATTATTATTATCATTGATATTATTACCAATATTATTGCTTCTTATAATAAAATAATAATAATAATTTTTATTATTATTATTACGAATTTGGATTCAACTATTGCGTGATTGACGTAGTATCGTTGATTGGATAAACATGCGGTTAATCTTTTCCACTGTTTCAAATTTTTTTGAAATAATCTCCGAATTATTTTTCCCCATATAAAAAAATTGTCTCAGAGCGGTGAAAATTTTGAAAATGTTTTAACGAGATGATACAGTAAAAATAATTTAGTAGCATTTGGATGAAAAGATTAAAAGATCCTATGACCTTTGAAAAACTACAAGAAGCTCCAGATTGATTGATCGTTTGATTCATGATTGATTCGTGATTAATTGATTGATAGATAGATTGATTGATTGATTGATTGACTAATTGATTTATCGATTTTTAAACAACGACATAGAATAAATTTAAACATTCACAATCTCTTACTAGCGGCCACTAGCATTGAGACAACCATACAATCGTACAATTCATTGAAAAAAGCACAGTTAAGAAAACTGAACAATTTGAAAAATAGCTACAACAAAAGCAACAATGGCTTATATACACACATAAACGCATATATATACATTATATATATATAAATTATATATTTTATATATATATTATATATATATATATAGATTTTGATATGATTATAAGGACCATATGAATGAACATTTTATTACCTTACCTTTCAGGTTTTCAATATTGTGTATCGTATATATTACATTATTATTTTTTAGCGATAGTGAAAGTATTAATAATAATAATAATTATTATTATTATTATTATTTTATTATCATTTGAATATGACTCTGCGATTAGACTTGCTAGGGCTATGTAATAATTCCATGCTATCTAATGATAGGTATTGTAAAAACCGCAATGATATTATTCATCCCGGGTGTCCTGTTGCTCAAGCGAGCAGTCAAATTAATTTGGAGTTGTTTTTAGCAGTATCTTTTTATTTCTCTCTCTCTCTCTCTCTCTCTCTCTCAGTCTCTCTCTCTCTCTCTTTCAGTCTCTCTCTTTCTCGTTTAAATATGTTTATAAATGTAGGTATAAACTAATAATCAATAATAAAAATTTATTCAATAGCAATCATTTATGTAAAATATGTTGTTAAAATGTTCTCGAATAATTGAAAGATATTTTATTTAGAAAAATATGAAAGTTTAATGAAATTAGATTTGCAAGGCACCCCCGTCTATCTTGGCACAGACGCACAGGCTCCCCTTGTGGCACGCCCAGCCGTCAGGTGCAATCATCTTGATCTTTTCAACAAAATCTGTCATCTGAAGACTTTCGATGCAGAATTTCATTGCTTCGTAGAGGTTATTTATATCAGTCATCTGCATTGGACACTCAAAGCTGAGTTCATCTAGAACTGAAACTTCCTCGCCTTCTAGTTCCTCTTTGACGGTTTCCGAATTAACAAATTCTTTCAGTTGCAGTTCTCTAAGCAGCCTATTTGTTGCGTTGTCGTCTCCACTGACGTTCACAGTTACGAACCTTCCTAAGGCGGAGTTCATCCATTGGTCGAAGCACATCCTGTAGAGTTTCATTCGTTGCGCCGGGTCTAAAAAATAAAGTACATGCATTGTCAGAACGATGTCAATTTTTTTCTCAAAAAGTTTCAAGATTTCATCAAAATTTTTTTCAGAATTATTTTCCTCCAGAACATCGATCAGCTTGTCGTAATCCTTCTTTTCAAACATTTCCATGAAACTTTCCATGCTACACTTCATGATGATGACGTCGAATTTTTCTTTGAATTGATTGTCCAAATTAATTTTAAGTTCCCTCAAACAGTCCTCATCTTTCTCCACGACGATGAGATTTTCAAGATTGGGCAGACAGATGCGAATGAAGTCAAGGTCGTAGCCACCATAGCCAGTACCGATAGACAGACATGTTCTTACTTCCTTCAACTCTGAACTGCCTGCCGACAAATTTTTCATCAATTCGAGTAATATCTCTCTCTCACTGAAGCATTTTCTCAACGCCTTCAAAGTTTCTGGGTAAGAAATTTTTTGAGTGGCCATTTTCTGGTGAAAACGATTTTTATTTTATAACAATTCAGTCACATTTTACGTTATATCAACGTTATAGAATTAATTAATTGTAATATTTGCAATTACATAAAATGGTTCAAATGAAATTATTCATTAAAAACATTAGTAATTTCAATGATTTACACTTTCGTAAATTTTTGAAATAGTTAAAAAATTAACAAAACCTTTTAAACCTCGAACGTTTGAAAGGACCACAACTCTCACGACGGTGACGGTTCCGCTAGCTAGGTCTAACTAAGCCTACAATAAAACACAACATTCATCTGTATGCATTTTACAAATACCACACACACATGTGCACTCTCTCACACACACACACACATATTGTTACTAACGAAACGGTAAATATGATACAAGCCATCATTATATATGAATAATATATATATATATATATATATATATAAAATAGCAAGTATATTTATACATATTATAGCAAGTAAATATATATATATATTAATTATGGTCTTTCACCAGCATATATATATTATTATATATATATAACTCAAATAATATACTAACACAAAAATAATATACTGTAATTCCAGCCACTCCCATCTGAAATTAGCCAAAGCCATTCTTATCGACATAAAACAACCCCTGATAAACGAACGAGAAAAGATTTCAACAATACTCCCGACATGATGGAAAATAATAAAATATACTAACAACACCAATGGTACCCATGAAGACACTGAAGAAAGTAACATGGACCAGAGCAAGTAAATGATACAGAAGCATTAAAACATATCTTCTTCTTCTTTCTCGTGCCTTATCCTTTCAGGACATTGGCAACCACCGACCTCCACAGAACCCGATCTTTAACACTTTGTAGTAGTTGAAATGTGGTGGTGGTATTCAACAAGTGACATAAGGACTTCACGAATAATATTCGTAGTTGACCGGATGCTTTTTTCCCTGCAATCATTCCAGTAGTTGTAAAATTCTCCATTCTTTCCTTCCGCATGATGTGACCAAAGAACTTAAACTGCCCTCTTCGGATTATCTTAAAGGCTTGGGTTACACAAATTCCCTATATAAACTGCAACAAGTGCTGAAGATGATTGAAAATCGAAATAGTTCCTATACACTGGAGAATGAATTGGAAAACTGTATATTATTCCATCTTTAATTAAATAAATAACGATGACAAGAATTTGGTTCGAAATATTGAGAAATGCAATAAAAAACTATCCAACGCTAGAAATTCAGTAGACTTCATTAATTACTGCATATACTGTATATATATATATATATAAATATATATATATATACATATATATATATTTATTTATTCAATTTATTATATATATATATATATATATATATATATATATATATTCAAAGACACAAAAGACACAATTATTATATATATTTATATATATAGAGAGAGAGAGAAAGAGAGAAAGAGATAGAGAGAAAAGAAAAAAATTAAAAGAAAGTGAGAGTTAACCCGAACGGGATTGGGCTTAAAAACTTATATGTAAACAAAGAGACAAAAACACCATTAGGTAGGTGGCCATTATTATTTCTATTATTATTATATCTATTATTATTATTATTATTTCTAATATTATTTCTAGTATTATTAATATTATCATTATAATTATTATTAACAATATTGTCATCAATATATAATATAGCAGTACAACGTTGGTTTTGAGATCAATTTTTATGATACATAAATTAATATACTACGTCTGATACATATACCATTCTTTGTCCATCTATCCGTCCGTCCATCCATCCATCCAACATTAATTAATTCATTAATTCATTCATTCATCCGGCAATTATAACATTTCTTCTTCTTGCTCCATCAACGTATCAGCCACTGGTTAATTATTTTATAAATTATTATTAATATTATTATCATCACACACACACTCACACATACACACACGCATACATATATATATATATATATATAAATATATATATAACAATATATATATATATATATATATATAACACAAATTAATCATTAAATCACATACACAAACACACAGGCATGCACCTACAAGCACACACACAAATTGATTGTTAATTCACACACATACACGCACACGCACACACACGCACGCGCGCGCACACACAAATTAAGCATCAATTCAAAAAGATGGAAGAATTACAAAAAAGAACATACACCACCTTCGATCGTTCTCTTAATCCTGTTCCTATTGCAGAGATGTGACAGACAGGCTACCATGCAAGAGAATAATAGTAGCATCGCTATGATGGCCGATACGATAGCCACTACGCTGGCGAAATAATCGACGGCTGACGTCATAACTGTGTGCGTGCGTGTGTGTGTGTGTGCGTGTGTGGTGTGTGTGCGCGTATCTACTAACAAAAGCAATGTGTTCCATTGTACAAAGGGTGCCAAATATTCTCACACAGACATTGAGTCAACGGTGGCGTGAGAGGGTCTATTTGGTACCTCTCACATTTCAAATTGTCACCGCAGTCTCCATTGTTCTTCGAGCAATCTAGCGGTTATAAATTAATAAATTTAAGGTTAATTAATTAATTAACTAATTAAGTTCTTATTTAAAATAGGAGATAAAGAATAGGAAGTGTATATATGTGTGTATGAAAAATTCCGGAAGAGAGAGAGAGGGGGGGGGGGGGAGAGAAAAAAGAAAGAGATATATATAAGTTAAAAAGGTGCAAAATCGAACCCCTGATATCGCAGTATTTACCAGCCCAACCACGCGCACATCTATCTAAGATGCATGCATCTTCAAATTCATTCTGACAAAAATGGAATTTTTTGGTACCCTCCATGAAATCTAGTCTAGTCTCAACTTAAATATAATTGAATGAATGAATGAATGATTGATTGATTGATTAATTAATTGATTGATTGATTGATTGATCGATCGATCGATCGATCGATCGATCGATTGATTGATTGATTGATTGATTGATTGATTGATTGATTGATTGATTGATTGATTGATTGATTGATTGATTGATTGATTGATTGATTGATTGATTGATTGATTGATTGATTGATTGATTGATTGATTGATTGATTTTGGTACCCTCCATGAAATCTAGTCTAGTCTCAACTTAAATATAATTGAATGAATGATTGATTGATTGATTGATTGATTAATTGATTGATTGATTGATTGATCGATCGATCGATCGATTGATTGATTCGTTGATTGACAGGTTGGCTGATGGATTGAAATTTTAATTGTTTAATTAAGAGTACCAAAGAAATAAAATCTAACCAGTGTAAACTGTGTAGAAGCGGGAATCGGCCAGGCACATGCTAATAAGAACCATCTTACTTGCATCAACGTCCCTCTCACAATAACATTCGCTTATCTAGAATAGACGAATGAGTGAATGAATGAATGAATGAACAAACGAACGAACGAACGAACGAATGAATGAATGAACGAACGAATGAATGACTGAACGAACGAACGAATGAATGAATGAATGAATGAATGAATGAATGAATGAATGAATGAATGAATGAATGAATGAATAATATCATTCATTGACTCATTCATTTAATTTATATTTATTTGGTTACATACATATACATTTTTGGGGTTTAATTTTATAAAATAAATTGATACCTAAATAAGTTTGTATAAACCGCAAGATACCTTGATTGAAAAATAATAGAAATTATTTAGTCTGCAAAAGTTGAGGCATGCCTCAAACTGTTCTGCCATGGTCAATGTGTTCTTTTTGCTATTCTGGCCGCTATTATTATTATTATTATTGTTGTTGATGTTAGTTGTGTTGATGTTGTTGATGTGTTGTCTATTTATCGTTGGGAAATCCTTAAAACATCCAACTATTGTTGCCTCGGCTAATGTTTCTGTGTAAAAAAGTAAGAGTTAATGCTATTATTGTTGTTGTTGTAAATAATGTTGTTGTCGTTGTTGTCATCAAAATTGTTGTTGTTGATATTTGAATAGCACATAAAGCAAGCAACGCGCGAACGAACGAACGAACGAGCTCACTAGCGTGTACATCGTATGTTCTCTTGAACATTGTCAGACTTTTGTTGCGTTCGCCATCTTTGTTGTTGTTGTTTGGTCGGCAAGATTTATACGATACCATATAATTGATCTTTGATCCGCAAGTGCAACTTCCATTTCCTGTTATGGTCTGTTTTTTTTTTTTTTTGATAGAATTGTTTGTTTATTGATTGAGTCTAGTTAGCGGGTATGTTGAATGCAAGGTTGTTAACTGTACTCATCATTAACAATACCGGCTTTAAAATTTATTACCGATATCAATATCGGTACTCGTTAATGAAAGTTTTGTTCTCAATACTAATACCGATACTTCTGTTTTTTAAATAGTGTTACATGCATTCGGTAATTAATATATAACATGGAAGTGATCTCATGGCGATTAAACGTTTAAATCCTCAAATTTAAAGCAGTTGGAAATGATTATTCATGTCCAGGGCCGAATTTTGAAGTCTGGAGTTTCTAGGGTATCAAAAAACTTTCATAATTAGTATTTGGCCAGTCTGACGAAAGACTGTCGGTGGATTTCTACCAGAGGATGCCGTTCAAACTGTTAAAATTTCATCAGATTCTGTTCAGCGTGTACTGAGTATCAAAAGTTTGTCCGATACCAAAGCCAATACTGAATAAGTATCGAGGATAAATAAATCTAAAAAAAAAGATCGGAAATTCCAACCTAAAAATAGATCGGAAATTCAGACTTAAAGGTAGGTTGGGAATTCAGGCTTAAAAAAGAATATAAATAACATACAAAACGAAAAAATTATAAAAATAACATCGTAAGCCAGGTAGGTACTGTTTGCACAGGTGTTCACACATTCGTTCATAGTTGTTTGTTCACGTCGTTCACCATCTTGCTTCATGTAGAGAAAACATCCAAAACGACTGAAAGACGGATGATCTATTCATTGTTATTGTTTGATGTTTAATGCGTGTGTTGTTTTTTTTTAGTAATACTGTTAAACTTGTCATCTTTGTTTAAATGATTTGCGAGCAATTTAATTCGAACAATGAAATTAATTACTTACTAATCCGTTGGTCATTTTGAAGCTGAACCTCCTGAATTGTGATGATAATTATAAATATTATTTGTTGAATGATGTTGAAACTCCATGATTTAATTAAAAAAAATTTGGTCGGTGGTTTTATTAGTATTGCAACCATTTTTTAATAAAAGCATCATTATTTTATTAGAAAAATGGTTGTTTAAATGATATTACTACATATTTCTGTTTTTTTTTATATGTTGTTAGTTTTATTAAAATGACGTTTTGATAGATATAACATTAGGAATGATCAAAATTTCAATTAAATATGAAAATTTAATTCTGACAAAAATTCTGGACTGAATCATGAAGTTTATTGAATAGAACTAAATGGAACTATTCATGCATTCTAAAAAAAATCCTTTTATCATGTATAAATTGTATAAAATATAAAAACTTCACAAATTTTCACTTCTTTTTATTATATATGTATATTATATGTGTAATTCATAACTCATCCATTTATACAGAAGTACCTTTAAATCTCATGAAATCTTTTGGAACATTTAAATATTAACACCGGTCTTTCCATACATAATTTCATTTTAAATTATGTGCGAAAAGTGCATCGAGCTGTTATATATATATATATTTAAAGAGATTTTTGCATTTTTAATTAGTTACTTTAACAAAATCGGACCTGCAAAGTTTTTGAAATAAAATCTATTTTTATTGTATTTTAATGTTAATTTATAAAATAATTAATCGTTTTTATCTCTAGGATTTAAATTTTTTAATTTATTCACCTCTGCTTAATTAATTTAATATTAATTATTAATTAAATTATTAAACCTTTTAATTTAATTAATTTAAATTTAAAAACTGAAGCTAATTTGTTTTTTTAAATTTAAATGTTGTTTTGTAAAATAAATAAATAAGTGGAAGCACGAGAAAAAAATGCATGAAAAAAAAATTTTTAAATTAATTTTTTTAATTTGCTACTCATTAGCAACCTAAAGAGCCCAAATTTATATATATAATTTATATATATAATATACCAAAAGCTGACATAGTATGGCAACTTTAAGAAAGTAAAAAATTTGATGTACAATGTATGAGTTTACAACTTTACATTGTACATCAATGTAAATTACGTAGGAACATAGTAAGTTAAGTTAAGTTGGTAAGTTTGATTACATGAATTGAAATTAATAAATTAATTAAACACTGACTGGATGTTTTTAACTGTCATTTTGATTATATACACAAGTTTGATTACATGAATTGAAATTAATAAATTAATTAAACACTGACTGGATGTTTTTAACTGTCATTCTGATTATATACACAAGTAGAAATACATGTACACTTTTTGATCTACCACACCACAACATTCATAATGAAATAACTAAAAGCCCAAAATAACTTCAGTAACCTCTTCTCTAGTAAAGAGAAAAAAGAAAGAAAGAGAGAAAAGTGAAGAGATAGAAAAAGCAGAGAGGTATGGATTTTTTTAATTTTTAAAATTCACTAATTTTTAATAATATTTCAAAGTATATTACACTCAACAATTTAACATGTTACTAACTTATATTACCATGAAATACAGTACTATACTTGAAGTAAGTACACCTAGAGTTTTGTAAGTCAATAATTCCCAATGCACTATAACTAAACATTGGTAATAATACAATGCTGATTATGTACTAACTAAACTAACTTTTAGACGGTACTATACCAATGAGATAACACTTGGACTCAATGCTTAAATTTGTATTTTTATACATACATGTATTTATAACCAGGTACAACAATACCATACAATACTTTGGGGTACTGTTTGGGGTTCTTTGTGGATGAAAATAATGATGGTGATGATAATAATGAGAATAAAAAAAGATGATGTAGATGATGATGATGCATAACTACCTATGCTAACATATCAGGTACTATACTGTATATATATAGTATACGTAGATGACGATATTACCAATAGTGTACCATGATGATGATGATGATGATGATGATGATGATGATGATGATGATGATGATGATGATGATGATGATGATGATGATGAGGGTGAGAATGATATCCAACTACACTAACGTATATGGCACTATACAATTCATACCTAGTTGGTGATGCTTAGCTTTATTTTGCTCTTGCTATACATCTGCTGATGTTTATGTGTACTTATATGTGCACTTTCATAGCCAGGCATATATTTTTATTAGCTTTTCTTTCAGAGAGAGACCTGCCTCATATTATTGAGATGCCATTAAATTCTTTTATATGTTATGTTATGTATGTATGTATTGATGTATGGATGGATGGATGGTAGATTGGTTCTTTGCTAGGCAATTTTTTTTCTTTTTAGAGTTTTGTAAAGTGAGTTGGTTGTGTGTATGTGTGTGTGTGTGTGTGTGTGTGTGCGTGTGTGTGTGCGTGTGTGTGTTGTTTAATTTGCTTATTTCTACTCTGTGGTGTGTGTGTGTGTGTGCGCGTGTGTGCTGTTTAATTTGCTTATTTCTACTCTGTGTTGTGTGTGTGTGTGTTTGTCAGTATGTATGTATCATATGTATGTATGTATTTATGTATCCGTTAAGTTTCCATTTTATTTCATCTCACACCTACAAACAGACATTCATTATAAATTCATCATTTTGAGATGTCAGGTGGCAGAGATAAGATAAGAAACAACGCCTTAATGTGTTTTTGTCAATGTTAATGATTGTTTTTTTAACAAGTACCATGTATGTATATATATATACATATATATATACATATATATATATATATATATATATATATACTATACTATACTATACACACATACGTTAATATACACAAACACACATACGTAAATGCACACAAAAAACAAACATACACACGTACATACATACACACATACTTACACACATACATACAAAATACATACGTGCATACATACAAACATACACACACACAGACATATACAAAGATATACAAAAGCCTATTTAAAAATAGGTTTTTTCATGATTTATTAATTACAGTAAATTAGCATTGCAGGGTGCTGATCAGTTAGAAAAATATGTCATCCTCTCCATCTCGTGTGCTGTTTTTGATTTTGTTGTTGTTGCTATTGATGATGATGTTGTTGTTGTTGTTGTTGTTGTTGTTGTTGTTGTTGTTGTTGAGTTAAGATTAGATCATCAACTCGTTACATTAATGTTTAATGTCATGATATTTTAACTGCTCGCTTTTTCATCGGTTCTCTTATTGTTTTCTAAAATCTTCCATCAATTCTCTATGTTACTCGTTGCAGTAATATTAACTACTACTACTGCTACTACTATCACTACTGCTACTACTGCTGCTACTAATAATACTACTGCTGCTGCTACTGCTGTTGTTGCTGTCTGTTGCTACTTTTACTACAACTACTGCTGCTGCAATCGCTACTACTAATGCTACAACTTCTACTACAACTACTACTGCTACTATTACTTCTGATATTATGATAGTAATAACGAAGTAACATCTTTTTACTGCCGAGAGTCTAAGTAAGATGGATAGATCGTAATATAATGAAATGTTATACAATGTAATATCAGCACAGAACGTTGTCCATACGTTCGTCATTCATTCGTTTCTTCATTTATTCATTCATTCGTTTCTTCGTGTATTCATTCATTCGTTCGTTCATTCATTCATTCGTTCGTTCATTCATTCGTTCGTTCATTCATTCACTCACTCACTCACCTCCATTTGTTCATATGACCGACAGTTATCGTTCGTTATCGTCTTAATGTTCGCGTTCTCTCTTCTTAATGTTATGGCGTGGTTATTGTTATTATTTGTTATTATTGTTGTTGTTGTTGTTGTTGTTATTATATGCTTATTATTATTATTGTTGTTATCGTTATTTTTATATTCCCGCATTTTTTATTATGATCAAAGACATATTTCTTCTCTTCATTGCTTCTCACATACATAGTTCAATGTTTCGCACCGGACTGACCTAATTCATTCCTTTTTGCATTCAGTCGCGTAGTCGTTTTTCATTCATTCATTCGTTCGTTCGTTCGTTCATTCATTCGTTCATTCGTTCATTCATTCATCTCCTCATTCGTTCATTCATTTGTTTTATCGCTTATCCACATTTAGTAAAATTTGTTCCAAAGTTTAATTCATTAGTCTGTTTATTTGTTTGTTTGTTCGTTTTGTTTTGTTTGTTCGTTCGTTCATTACTACATTCATTCATTGCTACATATTTTTCTGTTACATGCATACATAAAAACATACATACATACAAACATACATACATACATACACACACACACATACATACATATATACATACATACATACATACATACATACATACATACATACATACATACATACATACATACATACATACATACATACATACATACATACATACATACATACATGTATACATACATACATACATACATATATACATACATACATACACACACACACACACACACACATACATACATACGTCACCTGCCTCATTTCAGTTGCACATCAAATGAATCCTAATTAGTTACTTTTATTACAGCTTTGACGATAGCAACATCAACCACTTATAGCAAAAATAATAATAACAACAATAACAATAATAATTATTATAATTATATTATTATTTTTTATACACGTACATATATATATATATATATATATATATATATATATATATATATATATATATAGTAGACCTCATTTACACTTCGAGAGTCTTTAACAGTTTCCCACTGCTTTCTGTGGAAACATAATTTATTTGTTTAATTAATTATTAAATGAAGTTTTATTTTTTAACGTTTATTAATGAATTTATTCATATTAATAAAATAATAATAATAATAATGATGATAATAATAACAATAGTAATAAATTTTAACCAGATTTCATAGAGCTACGGTAGATGTTATTATTATTAGATAAGTACGACTCAGTCAACAAACAACGTCAACAAACCAGCGACACCAGCCACAACTACAACAACTACAGAAAGATCGACGATGACGTCAACAACATCAACACAACAACAGCAGCAACAACAACAACAATAGCAGCAACAGCAACAACAACAACAACAACATTATTATTATTATTATCATCTTATCAATGACATTTAACAACATTTGAAGAAACAACAAGCTAATGCCAACAACCTACCTATCTGCTGCTTTGTCAAATTCATCGTCATCTTCATCATCGTCGTCGTCCTCATCATCATTTTCTTCTTCGCCATCATCATCATCATAATCGTGATCGTTATCAGTAGCATTGTAATGTAAAAAGAACATTCTGAACATAGAAAGTAAATGACAACCATCCAGTATGACTGTAAATAATGCCAGCAAAAATAAAACTATTAATATCAATAGAATAAATAATAATAATAATAATAATAAAATAATAAAATATAATTATTATTCTTATTATTGCTTATGCTTTGTCTGTTTTATGTTAACTCCGTGTGGATCTGAGGCTAAAAAATTACTTCCATCTAAGGAAATAAGTACGTATGTGTGTACGTGTGTGTGTGTGTTTGTATGTGTACGTGTCCGTGTATGTGTGTATGTATCAAAGTTCGCTGTTTCATTTTTTAATGCATATTACCTATTTATTTATTCATTAGAATTTTGTTTTGGTTTCTATGATCCTGTCCAAGTATAATTTACAACAGCAAAATCATCAACAACAACAACAAAATAACATCAACAACAACAACAAAATAACATCAACAACAACACCAACATCATCAACAACATCAACAACAACATCAACAACAACATCAACAACAACATCAACAACAACATCGACATCAACACTAAAACAACCAAAAACAACACCAACAAAACAACCACATCAACTACATCAACAAAATAACCTCAACAGCAACAACAACAACAACCTCAACAACAACAACAACAACAACAACCTCAACAACAACAACAATCTCAACAACAACAACCTCAACAACAACAACAACAGTCATAACACAGAACAAGGTCCATTACGGATTAGGAGATACCATCCTGTTAACGTGCACAGTTAGAATTCCAACCCCCGCTTCACAATCATCATCATTACCATCATCATCATCACCATCATCATCAGTAACATCATTATCACCATCATCATCATCAACAACATCGTCGTCGTCATCATCTTCTTCCTCTCAACTTCCTTCATTATCCGATATAAAATTAGAGTTCAGCCCAAAGAGCAGAAATGAAAATTCAAACTTAGGGTTTGTTGTTTTTGTTATTTCCGTTTTATGTTGATGTGATGTTGGTGTGTTGTTGATGTGATGTTGGTGTGTTGTTGATGTGATGTTGGTGTGTTGTTGATGTGATGTTGTTGTCTTTGTGGATGTTGTTATCGTTGTTGTTTTTTCATCGTTTTGTTGTTATGGGAGTCGAACGAGCGTGGAGCTACTTACGTGCCATTCCTCACCTAATTTCAATTCGAAACCTCTGCACCTCGTACCATGCTTGTAGTCACGTGCAAACTGCATGCACATTCGTCTGTACTCTCGGGTGAGGCTGCATTCGAACAAGATCAGTTTGCGTCAGATAACATCGCTCTTAATGTCTGAACTAATTGTTTTTGTGTTCTTCTGACACAGTAACAAACATATTTTGTTTCGACAGATGGTTAAATGAAATAGAGAGAGTAGACATGAAGGATTACCAATATCCATCGAATGACTACAACAACAAATCTGACTACAACAACAACTACTACTACTATTACAACAACAAAACTGACAACAACAACAACAACTACTACTACTACAACAACAACAAAACTGACTACAACAACAACAATAACTACAACAACTACAACAATCGTACTAGGAGCAGCAACAACACTAACGTCAACGTAGCCAAAGTTTCATTCATAATTAAGAACGCTTCGGCTGATCACAGAGGAACCTTTAGGTGCCTCATCAGTGATGGAGAGCCGCAAACATTTTACATCAATTCAGTTAGGATTTACGTTATTGGTGAGCTTCTATTATCAGTTTGCATTCATTCATCTATCCATACATTCTATAATCTATTTATCTATCCATCCATTCATCATTCATTCATTCATCAATCCATTCACTCATCAATCCATCTATCCATCCATCTATCATCCATCCATTCATTAATCCATCTGAATAGTCGATCCAATACGTCCAACATTGGTTCATTGCTCGCTCTCTCTCTTCAACAATCCAGCAACAAAAACACCATCATTATCAACAACAACAACAACAACGATGATGACGTCATTTTTGACGTGTGAATGGTTGCCGACGTACGTCAAACAGAAGGAACACTGCTACGATGACATCATACAAGTTCTTCAGGTCTCCAAGCGCAGCAGGAAGAAGATTGTAAATAAGAAAAAGAAGATAAAAAATACTGGTCGCCGTCATTCTGATGATGACGTTGTTGTTAATGACGACGACGATGATAGTCGTTTTCATCATCTTCTTCTTCATCATCAGCAGCAGCAGCAACTACAATTGCAACCGGGTGGCAGGTTTTTAGATGATCAACAACAACGACATCGTAATAACAGGAACAACAACAACAATAATGATGATAATGATTATGAAACTGATAATGTTGATAATGATGGCCAAAAAAGCAATGATGAAGATGGTGATAATGATAATGGTACTAATAAAAATAACGGTGATGATGATGACGATGATGAAGGTCTAGCTGCGTTCTATCGGTTTCTCAAGTACGTTTGATTGTATGTGTGTATTTGATTGTATGATTATTATTATTATTATTATTATTAGATTATTTATATATAAAGCGCCCTTTATTGTTCTAAAAGGCGCTAACAATGTAAAAGTTGATTAAATGCGCTAATGCAAAAGTTGATTAAATGTTTCACTTCAATCAAATCATATCATGAAAAGTTTGTCTGGAGAGATGGTTCTTTAGCTTTCTTTGAAATTCAGTAATTGGCAACCCACGATTTCGCAAGTCAACCGACAAACTGTTCCAAATCTTCGGTCCCATAACAGCGAAATCTCTGCAACCAACAGCAAGCTGAGTTTGTCGAATTGTTAACAAATCTAAATCGTTTGACCGTAACTTCTGACACTGTAACGGTGCATTTCTTGGAACAATTCGATCCATTAAATATTTCGGCGCTAATCCATTAATGCTTTTATACACCAGTAGGGCAATTTTGAAGACAATTCTTTGTTGAACGGGCAACCAATGAAGATTGAAGAGAATAGGAGTAACATGATCAAAATATGAACCACCAGTTAACAACTTGGCAGTCCGATTTTGAATTAGTTGTAACTGTGCAACATACTTTTTGGGTAAACTGTTGCAATAATCGATCCTCGAGTGAATGAACAAGTGAATTCAACATTGCAATGTATGCATATTTAGAGATCCTTTGATGAGTTTCAATTTTCTCAATTGGTAAGTACATTCTTTCAACAACAACTTTATGTGCAATTGCATTGTCATGTTTGTATCCAAAATAAATCCAAGATTTCGTGCTGACGCACAAAATTCGATGACAGATTCCTTTATTCTGATAGTGTTGATACCCTCTATTCACTTGTTGCCATGTATCCACAGGCAAAAACTGGGTCTTGCATTGGTTCAACTTTAATCTGTGCCCCATCATCCAAACATCAATGGCTGATAAACACGATACTAAATCATCGACCACATTACCAAACGACGAGGGAGTGGAGTTGGCTATTATTTGGATGTCGTCAGCAAATGCATGAAACCTGAAATTGTACGACTCAATTATTGTGTAGATATCTGCTGTATAAAGCAAAAAGAGAATGGGACCTAAGACAGAACCCTGTGGTACACCGTATGACAAAGCATCGACAGCTGCCAAATTTGTTTTGAATAAAATTTGTTGAGTACGACCAGCAAGGTACGACACGAACCACTTGTGAACGACTCCCGATAGTCCAAATGTTTGCTTCAGTTTTTTGAGAAGTATTGCATGACCGACGCAATCGAACGCCGAGCTCATGTCCAAGAGAGCAAGCAATGACACATTTTGTTCGTCCATTGATGAATACAACCTTGACGAAACATCAATTAAAGCCGTTTCCGTCGAGTGAAACACACGATAACACGACTGGTGAACCGGCAGAAGATTATGAATTTTAAAATGAGAAGCAAATTGTGATAAAACGATTCTTTCAACCAACTTTGACAAAAACATAAAGTTAGATACAGGTCGGTAGATTTTTAACTCATGTCTATCAAGAGAATTCTTCTTCAAAATCGGTGTAACAACAGCAAATGTTAAACATCATAAGCTAACGAAAGCCAACCACATCAACTTGAGAAATTATGACGAGATTGGCGTGGGTCTTAATGATTGTATGTATGTATGTATGCATCTATGTATGTGTGTGTGTTTGTGTGTGTGTGTATGTGTGTGTTTGCTTGTACGTGTGTGGTTGTTTTTATGCGTGTGTTTGTTTGTATGTGTTTATGTGAAGTTTGCGTGGGTATCTTTTTATTTTTTTCGTGTTCGCATATTTGTGTGTATGTATGTGTGTTTGTATGCGGGTGTATTTGTTTGCATGTATGTGTACGTTTGTGTATTTGTGTGTATGTGTGTGTGTGTTTGTGTGTGTGTGTGGTTTCGCGTATATATATATATATATATATATATATATATATATATATATACGCGTACGATATGCTTATGCAATTGCTTGCAATTGATAACATGTCCTTCAGATTCAACTTGAGAAATTATGACGAGATTGGCGTGGGTCTTAAAAGCGGGAACAGTGGTCCTGATAACGATAGCGTTAACAATAACAATAATAATAGTAGTAGTAGTAGTAGTAGTAGTAGTAGTAGTGGTGGTGGTGGTGATGATGATGATGACGTCGGTTACGTTCATGAAGATAATGTTAAACATCATAAGCTAACGAAAGCCAACCACATCAACTTTTACGAGATTTTGAAAAGTGAAATAAATAACGAGATCAACAACAACAACAACAACAACAATAATAATAATAATAGCAACAACATTAACAACAATAATAATAACAACACTAACAATAACAATAGCAACAACAGTAACAATAATATTAACAACTTTCCGAAAAATTCTAAACTCGATAAGGCCATGCGCAGAGTGAAACTTCGCACGAATAGTTCTAACGTTATCAGAAATAACAACAGGAGGAACAAATTTTACAACAAATATAATGACAACAATAACACTAACAACAAAAGTTACAAACTTAAAAATAGCAATCGAAACAACGACAAAATCAACGTCTTAAACAAACGCAGTATCAGCAACAACATTGTCAGGAACAACTACAACCTTAATAACAATAACAACAACAAAAACAACAATAATATTTATATTAATAACAATATTAACAATAATAATAGCATCAATAACATCAACAACAACAACAGCACTAGCGACGATATTAACACCACTACCAAAGCAAACATCACCATGATCAATGACTACAGCGACTACAACGACAAAAAGAAAACAAACAACATTACTGCTGTCACAAACAACAACAACAACTATAATAATAATAAAAACAACAATAATAAAAACAACAACACCAACAATAAAAACAACAACAACGTCAATAGTAAAACTCACAAAAAATATTTTTATTATCAATGGGAGACTACGGGCAAGCCAGCAAAAAATGTCAACCTATCTCACGCTACAATATTTAATGCTGTCGAAAAAATATTTAATAACAACAACAACAACAATAATAATAATAACAACAATGATAATAATAACAACAAAAATAATAATAATAATGACTTTGATGATGATATCTTGACCTTTGAATTTTGCGCCAAGGTTTACGCTCACTCGGTTTCGTTCAATATGACCGTTTGGTCACCTCTGTTATGCTTCAATATTCTGGACATTGGTCAGTTTCGATGTTGTTATAATGGTGCTTGTGTTGATTGATTGGTTGCTTGGCTGATTGATTGATTGGTTGCTTGGCTGACTGAATGATCGATTGATTGGCTATGGCTACCTGGTTGGTTGGTTGGTTGGCTGGTTGGTCCGTTGATTGGTCCGTTGATCGATGGATGTATTGTTAGGCCTATTTATGAAGTAATACGTCTTTACTTTTAATCGTTCAATAAATGTTCCAACTAACAAACTTATTAATTATTACAATTAATCACTTAATTCAGTTAAATTGGACAAAGTCACCACCAACATCAGCTATATTAACTCTTCCACAATTCTCTCCTGGCAAGATTCATCCTCATCATCATCGTCATCATCTTCATCATCATCGTCGTTGTCACCATCGTTTTCATCATCCTCCTCATCATCATCATCGTCGTCACCATCATCGTCATCGTCGTCGTCATCACCTTCTTCGATGTTGAGAGAAATAATTGAATCCAGGCTTACCTACTCTGTTACCTACGCCCATGTTACTATCGCTGATAAGATAAACGTAATTATATATTTTTTTATTATATTATGTTTTTATTTCGTATCATATTATTATTATTATTGTTGTTATTATATTTAATGTTTTATTATTGCATTTCATTTATACATTTCATTATCTTGAAATATTTGGATTTTATTTTGAAATTTCCGGCCAATAAAAGAGTTCTCTCTATTATTGTTATTATTATCGTTATTATTATTATTATTGTATTTATTATTATTATTATTTATATTTTTGATTTGAGTTGAACGAGAGTCGAACTATAGTAACGAGAGGAAGGAGGCTGATGTTGCCCCTCTTACCCTATCAGAAGTACCAAATTTGGATTCACTCCTACCTGGATGGCAGGTCACGCAACTACAGATTCGATCATGTCGCATTTATAACTGCCACGGCGCCTTCGACTGGTCAGTTGGTCGGTCGGTTGAGTGATTGATGGATTGCATGGATGAATGATTGGATGATTGATTGGATGATTGATTGATTGGTTGGTTGATTGATTGGATGATTGATTGGTTGATTGATTGATTGGTTGGTTGATTGATTGTTAACTATCTTCAGCTGATTCACTATCATTAGATTGATCAAACCTTCACAAACTTGGCTCGTTAACATACACAGCACCTTGTAGGAACCCAACAACGGTTGAGAATGCTTTCTACATTCTACCCAATCATCTCTTCAACTGCACATACGTCAGAATCTATTTTAAGGTTAGCTAATTAATATTCATAGGGGACGAAAATGGGTGGAGCTTAATACGCTTGATTGACATACACCCATTTGATCAATCTAATGATAGTGATTTTAATGATGAATACTCGATTTAATTTATCCAGCCGATAAATCAGTTGTACTCCTGTTCAAAGTATCAAATCCAGTACAAAGTGCAACAGTACTTTCAGAATGGTGACGTCCGTGATGATGATGACAACCATGATGATGCAGAGTTTTGCAGACGGCTATCATCATCACCACTGGAATCATCGTCATCTTTGTCATCTTATTTGTCATCATCTGCACCGCCACTGCAAACTCCGCCGATATCATTGTCGTCGTCATCATCATCATCACCGTCGTTATCTTCATCATCATCACCGTCGTTATTTCCATCGTCATCATCATCACTATCGCTCTTCAGCAAGATTACGACACGAAGACTGAACTCCAACAATTCACCACGAACCTTGCAACAGGCTGTGCTACTGTTATCATCACCTCAGCCTAGCTCGCCCTCATCATCATCATCATCTTCTTCCCCTTTCTCCTCCTTATCGTCATCAATGACGTCATCGTCATCTTCTTCCTCTTCGCATCGCCACAACAATGCTTACATCGATATACTATTAAACAGAAGTGGAACTGAAACCAACCGGAACAACAATATCGTGATGGCTGCTGTTGTGGCTTTCAGTAATTTGGGAATTTCCAATGATGCTATTTATAACTTCATTAATATTAATTACTCAGGTTGGTGATGATTTTAAAATTTTCGGAATTTTTTTGTTTGAAATAATTTTTCGTTTCATTTTAGCGTTTCACTTTTAAACGTTCTTATGTACGTGAACACACACACATCACACAGACACACAAACACACACACACACACACACACGCATACACCACACACACGTACAGATAAATAAATGTCATCAAGCAAATTATTATTAAACTATTTAATTCACTTTCGTTCTCTGAAAGATTTTAAATCAATCAAAAACTTCTTAGATTTTAAATTATTATATCAGCTGATTTAGATTTCGCCAAAAGACTGTTTATAACTGTTGAAGGAGCCGGAAATGACGTCATTATTAGTTGGTTTATCAACGACAATAACAACAATAAAAATAACAACAACAACAACAACAACAATGAAAATATGAATAATAATGAGGGTAATAGTGATTATGATGATATCGTCGGCTACACCATATTCTACTGTGCTACAGGCAGGAAAACTGGATCGTGTGTTGTTAGTGTTGTTGTTGTTGATGTTGTTATTTTTATTGTGTTGTTGTTGCTGTTACCGTTGTTGTTGTTAGTAATGTTATCGTTGTTGTTGCCGTCATCATCTACAACGTCATCATATGCATCATCATCATCATCATCATATGCATCATCATCATCATCATCATCTTCATCATCATTATATGATATGATACCCTAACCTTCACTACCCACTTCACCATCGTTATTATTACACTAAATGTTTTAATCTTCATCACATCATCGTCGTCATCATTACAACCAATTGAAATTAGGACGATGTTGAGTGGATACAGATGAATGGTGATGGCAGAGGTACCAAAAACGTTACAATTTCATCGCTGCCGTTCAGATTTTATCAATACCAGTTTGGGATTTCTGTAAGACGTGCGGGTGGCAACACTAGTATTGTTTGGGCTGACAAGAATCTCTATTATTTCTCCAATGAAGGTTTATTTTGTTTTGTTGTTGTTAATGGTGGTGATGTTGTTGTTGTTGGTGGTGTTGTTGTTCATCATCGCAACCCACCGTCATCGTTATGACCTCATCGCCACAATTGTCATCATTATTATCACCACTGTTGCCACGCAGCGCCACTTTCACCGACCGATCTGACTGCGAAGGCGACTGCTGGCGACAGTATCTCCCTGTCATGGCAACTGATGCCATCATCGTCCTGGAAGCACAAGTCATGCTTGATCACCGCTTTCAAGATTTGCTACTGTCTGAAAAGCAAAGCTGCTGCTGCCACCGTTGTTGATGTTGCTGTTGCAGCTAGTGGATCGGCTGCTGACGGTAATGATAGGGATGATGGTTTTGATGAGGATGATTAATGATGGATAGATGAATAGTGGATAAATGAATGAAAAAATGAATGAGTGAATGGTTGTAAAAAAAACTTTCACTTTCAAAGATGGAGGAAACTGTTTGGAAACAAGTTCATTGCCATCGCCATCCTCGTCCTTCTCCTACCTCTTCAGCAACCTGACCCCTGACATCGGCCACATTTTCTGGGTCAGATCGAAATGTAGGTCGGGTCATCTTTCTCCGGCAGCCGTATTTAAAAATATGTCAGATCATCCGCCCAGCAAAGCTCAACTTAAGAATCTGTTCGATGATGATGACGATGAAGATGATGACGGTGGTGGGGGTGTTAATTATTTGGATCAGTCATACTCACAATGTTAGCGAGCGTTTGTGCGTGTGAGTTTGTGTGTATGTGTGTTTTTGCGTGTGCGTGTGTTTTGCCTGTACGTGTATGTATGGTTTGTTATACGTTTACTTTAACTTTTATGTACTGTTAAATTAACTGCATGTATTAACTCTCTTTAATTAGTCATTTAATTAAAATTAATTAAAAATCATTTAATTAAAATCAATTAAATAAATTACAATTCTCTGCAGTGTTCATCAATAAGGACATATTCGGCAAGTACAGCAACAGTGGCAGAGTCGTCATCATGGTGGTCATGGTTTTGTTGTTGTTGATGTTGCTGTGTCTGCCAGCTACCGTTTGGTTTTCTATCAGGCGAGTACTGATAGTGATGATTGTGACGACGATGATGGTGGTTGTGATGATGACGATGATGATGATGATGATGAATGAGATGATGGTTGTGATAATGATGTTCATAAATTGTCTTCATCAGTGTGATTCTTGTTGTTGTTGTTTTACAATCATCGTCGTCGTCGTTGTCATAATAATAATAATAATTATAATAATAATTATTATTATTATTACAATCATCATCATCATCACCGTAGAAATTGTAAAAATTGGAGTAGCAAGTTGTCGACGAAAGTTGAGATCATACTACCTGAAATCATTTTTACAGTTAGCTCTTCCGATTATTTTTTTTACGTTTATTTATTTGTTCTCTCATTCATTCATTCATTCATTCATTCATTCATTCATTCATTCATTCGTTCGTTCATTCGTTCATTCATCATTTGTTCATTCCATCATTCATCATTTGTTCATTCAGAAAAGTGTTAAAAACTTATCAGCGCTTTCTCCGCCTACTATTCCTCTTCCTCTTCCTCCTCCTCCTCCTTCATCATCATCAGCATCATCAGCCTCATTTCCGTTTTTGAATAACAACAACAACAAAAACAAAAACAATAATAATAAAAATAGTAATAAAAATAATAATAATAATAATCATGATACAAATGATGATAATAATAATAATAATAACGTTGATAACAACAATAATACAAATTTTCATCATCGTCGTCATCATCGTAACGAATGCACTGATGTAAGTAATGGTGCCAACTTCGGCAAAATCAAACCTCTATCGTCATCATCATCATCGTCGTCGTCGTCATCATCACTTTCTGTTAATCCTTATTGTAAGCTGCTCTCTGTCCTTCAACCACCTCATCATCATCTTCATCATCATCATCATAATCGTCGTTATCGTCATGGTGATGATGACGACGACGACGATGATGATGGTATTGTTGATGATGATGATGGTGGTGGTGATGCTAGCGATGGAGATGTTGTTGTTGGTGATGAAATTGATAGAAAGCAACATGGTGCCGGTGATGCTTATGTTCGGAATGATAATTTGCATTTGTTGAAGTGGAATTTTAAGAGTGATGACATCAACTTAAATGTGTTTGAGGCTCCTAGAAACAACAATAACATCAACAACAACCACAACAACAACAATAACATCAACAACAACAACAACGGCATCAACAACATTAACATTATCAGTGATGTTACCAACACATTTGACATCCTCAACAAGCTTAATATCAACAAAAACAGTGTTAACGTCATCAACAACAACATCTTTGGTACAATTAATGCAAGCAACAGCATTAACAACTTCAGCGCTGACAGCAACAACGTCATCAGCAACAGTGGTTGTGCTATCAAAGGCATTGAGTTTAATGCCATCAGCGAAATGAAGGATGACAGCAGTAATAACAACAATTACAATAACAAGAACAACAATAATGTTGACAGTTTTTCTATTTTTAGTAGATTTGACGGGAATGCGAAATGTAAAGAACTTAGTAGGTACGTGAAAGATGACGACGACGACATGAATAACAACAATAAGAGTAACAATATCAACAACAACAACAATAATAATAATAATAATAACAATAATAATAGTAGTATCGATTCTTATTCTCTACTATCTGCAGTTGAAAAACTGTTGAAATCCGCCAAGAAGGGGGGCGAGAACGAAATGAACGGTTATGATAATGATGACTATGGAGGTGCTGATAATGATATCAAGAATGATGACGATGATGATGATGATTGCGATAACGATGACGATGATAGCAAGGACAGTATCGTACTGATGGGAGAGCGTCGTGATAGATTAGATTACAGCACCAACAATGATAAAGGTGATGACGAAAGTGATGTTCTACTGATCAAGACCAACCACAACAACAACAACAATGTCGATGACGTCACTAACAAAACAACAACAAAATCAACAGCAGCAGCAACGACACCAGTGGCAGTAGCAGCAGCAGCTACAACAGCCACAACAACTATGGCGAATGACCCGTATGTACAACACTCTGCTGTCTTCAGCGCTGAAATGCTCATTCGAGATTGATGAAAATGATGAAGATATGAAGATTGTGATGATTACAAAGAGAAACAATGAGAGAGAGAGAGAGAGAGAGAGAGAGAGAGAGAGAGAGAGAGAGAGATTGCTATTATTATGATTATATTTTTCCATTTATATTATATTTGTATATATATATTATAGATATAAGCGTATTTACATTTCCATTTACATAATCTCTTAGGCACAAACGTTAATGATAAACATTTATTATATTTTAAGGCTTTAAGCAATAGTGACATACAGTTCTCACTTTCTCTCTCTCTCTCTCTCTCTCTCTCTCTCTCTCTCTCTCTCTCTCTCTCTCTCTCTCTCTCTCTCTCGCTCTCTCTCTCTC